GTTTGGACAACCGCTTGGACACTAGGGAGACTTCAGGCGATTATGGAGAAAATATCCTGTGAATTACTGCTACGTGATTACCCCAAAACCCCCGAAGTTAAAGACCTTCGTTCGACTTATATCGCTAATTGTCTCTTTCACAGTTTTCTGTCCTATACCGCCATCATCTTGAACATTGTAACAATCCACCCGATAAGAAGAACTTCGTCGTTGGCAAAGACTTCAAAAACGTTGCTCCTGAGTCTTGCTGTTTCTGATGTTGGCGTTGGTTTATAGAGTCAACCATTTTATATCTCACTTCTAGTCATGTGGCTACAACAAAACAACCCCTGCTTTAAGGCATATACGATGTTTACCATTATTATAAGTGTGCACGTGTTTTGTCTAGCGTCGTTCTTGGGTGTTGTGGTTTTAAGTTTAGACAGATTTTTGGCAATTCATCTTCATCTCAGATATCAGGAACTTATGACTCACAAGCGTGTTGTTGCTGAGGTGATTTCAATATGGCTGCTTAGTGTGCTTTCTCCTTTGATGATTTTCTGGGCTGGATACGATATTTACTATCTTGTGGAGTTTCTCCTCGGAGTTTTTTCGCTCTTTCTTACAGCATTGGTTAACATCAAAAATTACTTAACGGTACAACGCCACAAGAATCAGATTCAGGCCCTGCAAGTACAACAAGAAGCACAGACTGACGACATGGCGCATTTCGCTCGTCTCATCAAGTCGGCACTCAGTGTATTCTACGTATACGTGACGTTTGTGGTCTGTTATTTGCCTTACTTTATCAGTGTGGTCGTCATAGAAAGCAACGGACCGAATATCTCTTTGAAGAGATTTTCTCTTTTCTCGTTGACTCTCATTCACCTTGACTCATCTTTAAACCCAGTGATTTACTGCTGGAAGACGAGACACATTCGACACGCTATCATGGACATACTGCGGAACATGCCTTGGCTCAGAAATCGCGCATCACATTTATCTTAGGGTAGGCAGTGTTATGCCATCTATTCCCCACATTTATTGCTGTTATTGTTGATAAACGCCTTTTGTGTATGACATTAACTACGAGCAGTCTAAATTTAGCTGCCTGAAGACAAACGAGATCGTGTCAAACTGACTCAAAGTGTTTTAACACTATTAATATAGTTGTTCAGCACATATTCCGCTGTGTCTTTTTTCGGTGTTTTAGAAAAGGCTTTATTTATCAATGAATTTATTTGATCTTGTTACTGTTGTTCGCTCCTACTTGTGGAGCCGAGCCCGGAATAAATAACTGATTACTTCATATGCAATAGTCGCTTTTGCGGAGAGCATTACATACTGAGGAGTATAAGAGTATAAGGTATTGATATAGCTTAGTAACTTCTGACACAGTTGCGTTCTATGGTAGTTTTATGCTTTAAGCAAGGATTAATCGCAATAGCCTGGAATAAATTTGATCACAGATCAGAATATTGATGGATACGTTGCTACGTTGTTTCAAGAAATAGCAGTTCTACTGGCCGTATTGTTGTCTCTTTCATTTGCATAACAGAAACTTGAGGTTAACAGCAGATGAAACTGGCAGCAGTTTGCAGGTATTCAATGGATTAATTTTCTAAGTGGCTTCAGGTTAAGCAACCGTTTTCATTTGGTTCACTGTTGACAGTGGTTCCTTTTGGCAGTCTTAGATGAACTAATAACTATGCAAGTGCTAATTTATTTTCGATCAGTGCACTTATAATGTAGTTAAAGTTCGTCATTCAGTAATATTCTTCATTTACCGCGGGTAAAACGTCTGCCAAGTTATTGACAGCCGTTTAAGTTTTCACAAACACAATGCTTGATTAATTGACCTGACACTCACGCCAATGACGGTTACCTCTCGGTTTTATAAAAGCAAAAACGTGAAGTCTGCGTCAGGGAAGTTGCCCATAAGGCCGGAATTTATCCCTGTTTCTGTAGCATAAAGCGACCAGGAGTATTGATAGTCCCCCTGGATGGGATGCTGGTCCATCGCTGGTTGAATAGCTATTCATTCTACTCATTAACAATTCATCGAGTTTAAACGAAGGAACAGTCATGACCGTGACGATGTTTGGATATTTGATCTTAATTAGCACAAATTTTTACGATTTTATTTCACCTCAAAGTTCGCCAAAAATGCTCCGCTGGGCGTCGTATTTTCAACTCTCTTCTTGCTGTTTGGAAATGTGGTCGTACACGTTCTTTCGTGTTTGATATGTTACTTACAAATGTCAAGACCCACGGATATAATTTAGCAATTTTATTTTAATTTGACCGCAAACTTTATAAACCAGTCGATTGAGGTATATTTTTTTTGCAAACAAAACATCTGACCGTGACAGATGTGTGGAACACTTTTCTGCTGTCGTTCACTGAGGATTGGTAGTTGTATTAGCAAAGACAGAAATCATTTGCGCTTACGTGATCCAGTTGGTAGGTGGCGTGGGAAACCAAAACTATCTTAGCTTGGTATAGATCGTCTCGTAAGTCAAACGATTAGTGCCCTTAAAAATTTTTCGTTACGATTTATTCCTTGCCAGTTTTAACTGCAATACTAGCTGTGACAATTACGATATCTGAGGTGGCGAGTTATAGAGCACTGAATTGACTTCGCTTACTAAGGATCATGCTAGCTTAACGGTCATCCAATTGGTTTATGGCGAGAAGGAAGAAAACTCTATTAACTTTGTAAACATTGTTGTATGTCATACTCTCACTGACATTAAAAACATGAGTTGATGCCATGAAATCATTTTGTGAATTTCTGCTACAGCGCTCTCCAAAAGTCTTCGAATCTGCAGACCTCCGTTCGACTTACATCGCTATTTGTATCTTCAACAATTTTCAATCCACGCGATAAGAAACAGTTCGTCGTTTTCAAAGACTTTGAAAACATTGCTCCTGAGTCTTGCTGTTTCAGATGCTGGTGTTGGTGTTGGTGTTGGTCAGCCTCTTTACACCTCACTTTTGGTAAAATGGTTACAACAAAAAGACCCTGGCTGTAACATCCATTTGGCTTTTGCGATCACAGTAAGTATGTTTTCCTTGGCCTCTTTCTTGAGTGTTGTGGCTGTAAGTGTAGACAGGTTCTTGGCAATTCATCTTCATCTGAGATATCAGGAACTTGTGACTCACAAGCGTGTTGTTGCTGTGGTGATCTCAATCTGGCTGCTTAGTGCGCTTTTTCCTTGCTTGGTGTTCTGGGTCTCGCGCGATATTTTGTCACCTATTGAGCTTTCTGTTGGAGGTTTTTGTATTCTTCTTACAACAGTGGCTTACATCAGAATTTATTTAGCCGTGTGACGTCACAAGAATCAGATTCAGGCCCAACAAGACATAGCAGAGAGTGGCGAAATGGCAAATTTTGCTAGCCTTGTTAAATCTGCGGTCGGTTTGTTCTACGTATATCTCGTGTTTTTGATTTATTTGCCTTACTTTATCGGTTTCGCCGCCTTTGATATGAATGGCCCCAGTATCTCTTTAAAGAGATTTTCCCTTTTCTCATGGACTCTTGTATATCTTTACTCATCACTGAACCCAGTAATTTACTGCTGGAAGATGAGACACAATCGACACGCTATTATGGACATACTGCGAAACATGCCTTGGTTTAGAAATCAAAAATCGTCATTTTCTCGCAAACGAGTATGGTGACCTACCATTTTTTTCTGTTGTTTAGAATTGAGTAATAAATTTCTCTGTGTAAAATAAATATGGACCAATTCTCAGTGTAGAACAAAAAGCAATCG